TATGGAGGAAATATAATTTAAGAATAGTAAGAAAACAAGCGTGAACCCGACAGCGTTGTAAGTACAGTTGGGACATAAGAACACTTCAAAAATCTCTATGAATGATGGCTACAGCAGGACATATTTAACTTTTATAGAGTTACATAGACATTTATATTCCATCCATGGGCTTAAACTGATGTAATTAATATAGTTAAATAAAAATACATTAAAATAGATATGTTCCTTCCCTATATATAATTTCTCATTTCTAATACTTCTAAAAATCACACTTGTTTTAATAATTCTGACTTTAGTCCCCATCAGCCCCAGCTAACTAAGGCAATGATTTGAAAGAGTTCTCTTCCAATAATATATGGAGAGATCACAATTTTTCTCCCTTAGTATATCTTTATGTGCTGCCTCATGAAGCTACTTTATAAAGTAAATGTACGTTGAATGTTCATTATTCCAGCATGACTGCAAGAAATGTTTCTCAAAGGTCTTTGACTGTTTGTATTTTTCATTTTATTAAAAAAAATTAATAAATTGCTTTCGACATAAAAAGACTATAGAGAAATACTTAAACAATAATCCTATGAAAACTAAATTAAAAACAGAATACAATTAAGACACATCAGAGAATAAAATAAAGTGCAATCAAAAGCCAAACACAACAAAAATGTTTCAAGAATTTGCTTAATACTAAACAAAGAGGGGTCTAATCTGAACATCATATTGAGTAAATTTTGTACCCAGAATGCAGTCCTAGAAAAAAATTGTCCCATATTCCCATTAGCTTCGCTTGGTGATGAAGCCTATAATAAGATCTCTGAAGAAAAATGTAAACTCTATGCAAGTTCATACTGAAGGACGAACAGGCACTTCTCCTGGCTCCTATCTTGGGGCTTTTTTAAAAGCAAAAGTTACTGAGGGTTACCTAGGACTGAAAAGCAACCAAATGTTCTTATAAATCTGTATTAAAATATGGCAGAAACAGGTATAAAGTGGCCTACTCAACACACACAATACTGCAATATTATATGCAACAAGTGACTGAAGTAAAGATGACTATCGCTTACATTTACTTTTTCTCCTTCCTTTTCCAGGCTTAAACATTCAGAATTCTCAGCCAAGGACTTCCTTATCTGGCACTGTCAGGATTTGAATTCCAGGCACAGGACCTAACCCAATTTGGCTATTGATGAGATCAGTGAAGGCACCCAGTGTTGCTCTGAACACTGAAACCCTATGGTTCTAATCCATCATATGCACTTTGGGATGTGATTATAAGCATACAGGTGAATTGCCATTTAATAACTGACTCATTTAACAACTGTTTGCACACAACAATGATGAAAAAATAATTTTATAACCAAACCTCACATTTATAACCTTTGCAAGTCTGTAAAAATTGAAGTAAGACAATAAGCCCAGTTGTTTCATTTAGCAATTTGCTTGACAGTTGAGTTGCAAGTCCCAATTATGCTTGCTAAACAAGGATTATCTCTACACTACACCATTAGCACAACAGTAAAAACATCCACATCTAGGGGCATACAATTGTATTACAAGGGCTACTTTGCAGCAATAAATTGTCCCAGCACAAAGCATTTATATCTCACTTCTGATAAAACAGAAATTGATTTCTATTTCATTTCCCACATATACTCTTGTTCTCATAATACTATCATTGATAAAATGGTTGAATGTGATATTTCTTGAGGTGGAAAAAATGAATGCAATTTCATATCCTGTTAACATCCTGTTTGACTCTGCTACTGGTTGTTCCTACTGTATACATTCAGTCACCCTCTCTGTGTATTGTTATATGTACAATAGAGATGCACAATGCTACTGTGCAAATCAGAAAAAGATGCAGCTTCTTTAAGGGGATGCTGCAAAGTGTGTATGTCCAGCCATGCCCCCTCCAAGGCACCACACTCTGCAAATTGCCTTATAATCTGTTGAATAATCAATAACCTGCAAATCAAGCCTTCTATACAAGCTACACTATACTTTTATTTTCTCATAAAGTATTTTATCAGCTTGCTAGTTTTCTTCTCATTAAGGGAAATATAGTTAAATCTAACCTTGATAAAAGTTTTTTCCTAATCACACAGAAGTGATTTTTAAAAAATGCATTTTAAAAATGTACTTAATATATTTGGGGCAAATAAGGTAAACCCCGTGGCAATTAATATCTTGATAACTCTAAACTACATGAAGAATAGATTTTCTCTCTTTTAAACAAATAAATGTATTTTCATAAAGTAGACGTTTCCCAGGAAGCATTTGATGGATGTGATTAAAATCAATATGTTGATTTAAATTTTAAATTGATGAGGTATAGCTAAGTAAAAGATTATATGCCTTGCATGCAAAAATGTGCATGCTTTTAATTCCTACCACTGCTGGTCAAGGGACGATCGTTAGAATAGGTGCAAAAGACCTGTCTAGATTTTGGAGAGCCACCTAGTGCCCATCACAGTAGCCGAACAGGCCAAAAGAATCACCAATTTGTAGAGCAACTCCTTGTAATCCCAAAGCCGCCTACTGAGATGGGCCCAGAGCATAGGATAGTTCCCTAAATAAAATCCTGAACCCATGAACTGGCAGACAATGAGATATGGTTTTTAAGTTTACAGCATTTTGTCCGGGAGAATATCCAACGATGGCTGGTCCACACACCCGAAGGAAGTCCCAAACTCTTTTGTCTCCTCCAGGCCCCCGTACCTTGCATGCTGAAAATACTCCCAGCTTTTCCAGCTTTTTTGCCCGCGGGAAGCTCCGCGCGTGCGCCTTGCGCTGGCTCGCGCGCTGCTGCTGACTTAATCCTGGACGGACCGGGTCGCTGGTGCTTCCTCCAGCTCCGCTTCCCCCTACTACCGGCGGTGTTGTAACTGTAGAGGAGGTGGCGGAGGAAGGAGCGTTAGTCTGCGGGATCCGGGTAGTTTGCGAGACCTCTGTCTCCGCCATGATGCCCAAGACCCTGCAAGACGGCGTGGGCGCGTGGCTACCACTGAGCATGTTCAGAAGTTGGGAGGGGGCCTTTGTCCATGGGTGTTGAGCGCTGTTGCGCATGCTCCCTGATATCAGTTGCATGCTGGGGAATGTATTTTTATAGATTGTTAATGGGGAAAAGGCTGCTGTCCATTCGGAAAGCTAATACTGTATTTTTTTAAAAAGGCAAATGCAGTTTTTCTAGCCATGAATATACATACAGCGAAGAGTGAAAAATATGTAAAAAATATTTGATTTCTGTCATAATTTGCAAATTTTAGAAAATCTGTTTCAAATGAACGTCTCACCCATTCGTAAAACGAAATGAATGCTAGCAAGGATAGATCTTTGTAGGATATGAGTATTTAAAGTTTATATAATGCACTATCAGTAATTTTTATGTGTATTTCAGTTTTGCTTTAAATTAGCACTATTTGTACATTGTACCTCAGATTTCCAAACAGTAAAGCATGAGTTCTTTTAACTTTGGGTCATGACCCTCAAGCAATTTGGGAGGGGTGTATAAACTGATCAAATTTTCCCTGGGAAAGTAAAGGCATAGGAAGCCTTAACAGAGCAGAGCTATTTCTGAGAAATGACCAGTTTGTGATATGTGGGTAATTTTCAACAAAGTATTTGTTGAATGGTATGACAAAGCTAAAGATGATCAATCTATTGGTTGAACTAATAAAATTAAATGTGTGTCAGAAAATATGGTGCAAGTTATCAATCTTTTATTTTTATTTTTCTCTCCAGTCTTAACCCTCATTGAATTAGTTAAATTCATGAGGAAATGATTGCAAAAGCATTTAATCGTTTTAAGTAGTCATGGTAAACAAAGTTACAAAACCCCTGCAAAACTAAATGTTAAATTTAGAAAGTTACCAGTATTTATGTAAGCTGATATGTGCAATAACAATGATTCAATTATGTTCAACACTTGATTTATAAAAATTTATTTTTAACTCATACACAACTGAAGCTTTGTATTGAAGAGATTGATGTAGAGTCTTAAATACAAATATGCATAAGACAAAAATTGCCTTGGACACTAGCTCAGAAACAAAACCCCTTTTGCATTACCAATATTGGTAATGTTGTATATATGAAAATATTTATCATTGCTCCCCTCCCCAGTTTGAATAGAGTCTACCAACCTGTTTTGCTGATACATCCAACATCCTGATAGGGTTATAATAGCATAATATTACTCATAAAAATGATCATTTTATATATTTAACAGGCTGAATTAGTGCATTACATCTAACATGTAAATAATAGGTTAATGTAGATTTGGCATACCAAAAGCCCAATGCAACCTAGGAAGGATAAAGGACTAATTGGTATATGTTATTAAAAAGATACTGATTTGTTAAATGCTAGAAACTAGAATACAAAAGAGGAAAATCAAGTTTCTATTGTTCTTCAAAAACATTCATAATTACAAATTTGGTCAAAACAAAGCTTAAAGGCTATGGGTTTCTCTCAATCTATCATTAATACTACAGCTTCAATTCACGGTTGCCTGTAGGTTTCTGTAACATAGTCTTTTACCAGCTTGTATGTCTTTTCTGAACCAAACTTTAAACGAAAAATGTTGTGCATAGTAATTCTGCAACTCATTCCTATTTTATGTAACCTCCCCTGGCTACAGCTTCTACTTTTCTTAGGGCAGAACACTATCGGCTGAAGGAGCTTGGAATAACCAAGGAGCTTGAAATCACCAAGCAGATGTTATGGAAGACATATTTTGTCTCGGAAATGGATGTCCTTCTTCCAGGGAGCTCTGAGCAAATGCAAGAGTATAAATCTTGAAGATAAAAGTCAGAATGGAAGAGGGACCAAGGTTTTCAAAGCACACATTGTTCACCTACAAAGATGTAGAAGAGTGCCATTGTTCATCTGTATTAAAAAGACTTCTTTAAAAAAACAAATCTATTGTTTGTTCAGAAGAGAAATGGCCTCTGCTGTGTTCCCCTCCCCCACTCTATGAGGGGAAAAAATCTCGGGGGGGGGGGGGAAAGATCCTGGCAGCTGATCTTGTAAGTGCAATTGATTCAGACACATTCCAACTGGAGCTGCCAGACAAGAATCCTTAGTGGCTGCAACATTGCCCCTTGCTAGATTGGGTATTCTCCTGGAGGCTGATGTTTAGATTCTTGCCTGCTGTTCCTGTTGTACTCTGTGGTTCATTTCTGGGAAGTTTCTTTGCTGAAGGGAAAGAGGAGGGTATATTTAGGAGCATGGTTCTTAAATTCATTCCACAGGAAAAATTAAAAGCACAAAAGAAATGGTTGGGGAGGAGAGATTTATTGAGATCACTATTTCTTTCCTGGCTAATCCTGCCCGATGTACCTGTTGTAATTCAATGGAAGATGAACATTCCCAAAATACACTTCAGGTAGATGTGCTCCTACGCCAATCATTCTCCCCCAGCCTCTGGACCTTCTTATTCCATAGTTCACAAGCTTCCCATGTTTGTCTTTTACCTTGACTCTGTCTGTCATTCAACCCATTCTTTTTATCCCCACCTTTCTATTCATTTCTCTGTTCTCTGCCTTATCTCTATTTCCCTCTTGCAAGTTTCTGTGTACAATTTTAGAGCCTATGCTCTTACCCAACACCAGAAAGGTCCTCTTTTGCTTAGGCCTGCAACTTATCACAAATTTATTTTGTTAAAATTCTGCAGAGTGTTTGGGAACTTAGATTACTATCCTTGAAAAAGTTTGCTTGGTGTAGCCCAGTGGTGGCGAACCTATGGCACAGGTGCCAGAGGCGGCACTCAGAGCCCTCTCTGTGGGCATGTGCACTGTCGCCCCAGTCCTAGGTCTTCAGCTGGGTTTTATAAAACTTTTTCACTTTAGGCCTCTGCCGCCGTGTGCAAAAAAAAAAAAAAAAAAAGGTTCAATCAGTCAATTTCAACTTCTTGTGGAAAAAAAAAGATCTTGCAAAGTTGGAATTGATTGATTGAACTTTTTAGTCCCACCCAGTCTGCCATTACCACTGCAGCTACGCCCACCCAATGGGCCACACCCACTTGGCACTCGACGATGCATAAGTGGGTTTTGGGTTGCAGTTTGGGCATTCAGTCTCTAAAAGGTTTGCCATCACTGGTGTAGCCCATGACAGCAATTGGAGAAGATACCCTCCCCAAGCTGCCTTTCTCCTCCCCTTGACTAACCTATTGCCACAAAAGCCTCATTCACATTCATTGCTGTCTTCGCTGATGTTTCCATAAACAGCAAGCTGTTGTCATCTGCATAGATCTGGGCTTCCTGTAAACAATCATGTCAGCAATGTCAGAATTTTCAAAGCGATGCATTTAACCTTTGTAAGCTTGGTACACTTCTACAGCTAGACCATATCAATGCCATTATAAAAATATGATGAAAAACTCTAGCCATACTCTAGGCACTACAAGACAGACAAAATATAGAAATATTGACCACGCATGTTAATGTGTTATGATATAATATGCTTGATTATTCCTGGAATTAGGTTGACTGAGATAATTACTGTACACATTAGACAAACAAGGGATTCCATTTTTCAACAGTCTTTACAACGAATACAAGCCAAGATGGGCCAATGTCGTTCTTTGCTTGATCTACAGTTCTTTGCTATTTTTCAATAGTGTTTCTTATTTCATTGGTTGGGATTAAGGAAATCAGGTTTAAACCCACTTCAGCTGAAAACCTGGAAGAGAGGTGCCATTGTAAGCTTATAATCTTTCCAAATTGAAGGGAGGAGAGGAAGAAAATGATCAGTTATACTCAAGTGATTCCAGGGACAACAAAAGGGGTTCAAGCTAAAAGATGTTCATGCCTAATTTAATAAATTTGTGATTACATACACCAACTGAGGAATAAAATATATAAAATAAGTAAAGGATATATTGCTAAATCTAGCAGCTTTACACATGTTAGCTGCAGTAGCCCAAAGTACAAGTAGGTTAGTATTACCCTTGGATTGTAAATATGTAAATATGACAACAAATAAACTGTTTTAAAAAGACCACTTCTTTCAGATTAGTGGATTAACACTTTTCATAATGTTATCTTTTTTGGTATTTTGAAATGCTTTGTTGATTGCTGAAAACACATTTAAGAATCATGGCTAAAAACAGCACATCAAATTTTATCAATAAACCTGTTTAGGGAAGAGTAGCAAATTCATAGTAAAAAGGAAATATGACTAAGGGCTTTCCTGATTCATAGCTTAGATCATTTTCCAATTAAAACATTTTGTTGAGAAATTATCCTGATAAGGGACCTCTTATAGTCCTTATGCAAAGAGTGATATTTGAAAAGGATACAATTGGTTTGGACAGAAGCAGAACCACCTTATGATTCTTAAGGTATTTATTGTTCATGTAGAAAAAGCATCCAAAAACACTACAGAAGGAAAAACTACTATTTCCCAATAGAAAAAAACCTCACTTACCTGAAAGTCAACAGCTCGTTTGCTGGCCAGGTCAGCCTTGTTCCCTGCCAGGGCAATGACAATGCTAGCACTAGCTTGCCTTTGCAGTTCCTTCACCCAATTCTTGGCACGCACAAAGGTATCCTATGAAGAGCAAGCACAGCTCCATAATTCTCACCTCCTGGAATTCTAACATATATATTGCCTCCTGCTCCGAGGTAGGTGATACCTCATATAATGTATTTTCCAGTGGTGGGGCTCCTCCATACTTGGACTTGGGGGACATCTTTAAGCAGTGTACCAGGTATGAGAAAGTAAAGTAGGCCTCTCAGAATGGATTTCCTCCCCCCATTTATCTGGGAGCAAAACTTACTGAAGTACAATGGTAAGAGAAACTAGGAACTGCAGGTCAGCATCTGAAGGGCTGCAGATTTCCTATACCAGTAGTGAACCATGATTCTTAGTTCATGTATATTAATATAAACACTGAATTCTGGTTTATCCTTCTAGTCACAAGAGAGGAGACAGGGTATGTGTACAGAAGTAATTCAAGATTTAGTACATGTGGATGATTTCAATGCTTGGGATTTTGTTTATGAAAAATATCAAATTACTAGATTTTAACTTCAAATATGTAGCAAAGCTTAGATGTTCTGAGACTTATGTCCACAGGAGAGAAGGAAGTTGAGAATACCAAAAATCCAACAGCTCAACACTGACCTAGGTATATTTTCCAATATGGAATGCTTAAAACTTTTAAAATTAAAAATGGCCAAACTCATGTGAAAATACTGATATCTTTTCAGATATGGCAGTTTTGTGAAATTTGGGCTATTTTCATTTTTAACAGAAATTCTGAATGTCAACAGATGATCAGTCAATAGATTTATAGATATTAAGACATCTGTGGCTATTTTATTTAAAGTACCTAGTTACAGCAGTTTTAACTGAGGCTTAGTTCTTACTTAGGTCAGTAAGTAATGTCAATGCTACATCACTTCATGCTGCAGTTTAGAGCTTTAGCCTGCCTTCTCCTTCTCTGTATCTTTAAATATTGTACAGAGAGAATCTTTCTGTAGAATAAGCTGTTTGAAATTGTACTGCTCTGAAATGTAACACTGTGCAAGCTAGGCCCAATATTACAGTGAAATGGCAAGAAATTCAAACTATTCTGCATCAGCGGTTCCTTCCTAAAATGCCATTCATTCAGTGGATACATTCATATATGCCAGGGATATCATGAATCCTCAAGGGGAATGAAGCCAGAAAAGAAACACTGTTGCCCATGTGGGATCATTTTGGACCCAATCTATAAAGCCTTACCATATTAGTGATGTCATAAACAACTATGGCAGCTTGTGCCCCTCGATAATACATGGGGGCCAGGCTGTGGTAGCGCTCCTGTCCAGCTGTATCCCATATTTCAAACTTGACTGTGGTATCATCTAAGCAAATGGTCTGCGTTAGGAAAGCAGCTGGAATACAGAAGGATTAAAGCATAGTCAGAACAGAAATTGAGGTTGGGTTCCACTCAGGGGTGGCTATATTTTACATAGAAGCAAGAGCTTTTTTCACCTGTAAAGCATCCAATTTTCTACTAGAGTTTGTATTCACCCAATAAATATCCACCCACTGCATTACTTGAAGGTTTCTTCCCAGTGACGTAGGTGGAAGACATTTTCTCTCACTGACATAGTTGAAACATAACTGTGCTAATGGAGAACAGTGGGTACACCTTTTGAATTTTCAATATTTCTGCCTAAATATGACCTAAAATATATCTGACTCTCCACAGAAATCCTAAAACTAAAGAAAACCCAGTTAAACAAATGAGTCAAAAACCATCATGCAGCATTTGCTTATTGAGAAAAATGATCCAAAGTACATTGAGCCCAGTGTAAAGTTAAAATAAACTAACCTACAACAAACCGCAATAACAAATTGTGATTAGAGAGAAGTGGCCTAATTGTAAAATATTTTGGGACTTCACTGTGAAGATTATAATGTTAGCTGGGTGGGAGAGCAGCTTAGTGTGGGGGACCTTTTCCTGCAGACAGAGGTTTGGATTGAGTATCAGTTCATACGTGAGTTTTGATTATGTAGCTGGCTTACATCAATGATGTAAAAGACCACATGAAGTCCATCATATATACTTTCCAAATTAAACTGACAAATTAAACATATCAACTTGACAATGGAAGGTGTGTTCTGGTGGCTACCTCCAAAGCTTTTAACTCTTTTTCTAAGGCCAAACAGATTCATAATATAAGTATTTATCTGAAAAGTTGCAACATTTATTTGGCAGTCCAGAATTACCAAACCAATGTGAAGTGATTAACTAAGTATTGTTTGAGGTGCTTGCTAAGTGCTTTATTATTCCCAATTTTTTTTCTCATTTATCTCTCTCATTCAAATCATGAAGTGGGGAAGAAAGCAGACTAACTTAGCATGTTAGTGTGTCTGAAGCTAAATTAATCACATCTTTCTTGCAGCATCAGGCAAGTGGGATTTACAAACGTAATGTTTGAGGCACAAATTTTAGATCAATTCCATCATCTCAGTATGTATAGAATGCAGATTCCTAGCCATATGAAAATAGGTTCTTAGGCAACCATTACTCTCTTCAGATTCTTCACTTCTACATAGTCAAAAAGACCTTACTGAAAGGCCGGATAAGCTTGGTCTGTTAAACTTGTGTACAGAATTGTTAAGGTATACAATGTGCCTGGCACTTGTCACAGGAACATTTTAAAAAAGAACAGAAATGATGTAGCTATTGGCCTCAAGCCAGATATGATACTTTAACAAAGCAAGGTTTCTGCATGGCCATGTATTTTTAATGTCTTTTTTGTTTTTATTCTTCCCACTTGAATTGGAACCACAGCTAAAAAAAATCTCAAAGGGACTTAGGAAATCACGCCTAACATGTTATTAACTTATATTTGTTTTTATTTTATTACATTGTACTGGTATTTGTTGTAAACCATCCAGAATTTCTTCAATTACGCCAGGGGTAAATGCAATAAATAAATAATCCTAATCTCAGCATTTCCTGGAGATAACTCTATCCTCCTCTAATTTGCTCCATTCAGAAAAATATATTAATAAGGAAACTCTTCTGAAAAATCATTTGGACCCAGGCTTTCAATCTTATCAACATTTCATACTAAGTATCATAAGAAAATTTATCTAACATCTGTCCACTATTGTGTAGTCACAATGGATTGCTGTAGGCATAGTCCACTGAATAATAACTTACCAACTAGATTTGTCTCCCAACTTCCAGAATTCCCAGCAATCACGACTTTCTGTTAAGAGAATTCTGGGAGTTGTAGTCCAATACACATAGAGGATGCTAGATGATTTAAAGACAGATGGAAGGTATCAGCAGGAATTAACAATGGTGTCCATCCCCAAGAATCATCTCTACAGGTTAGTTTAGAAAGAATTCTTTAATGACAAATACTTGTTAACTGTCATACTACACTAATTTTCGAATTTTCTGAACTGCTTTATCCATGATTGTGACACTTACCTCCAATGGTGCTCTCCTGATACTCATGAAACTGTCCTTTTACAAAGCGCAAGACAAGGCTTGATTTCCCAACAGCTGACTCTCCCAGGAGCACCAATTTGAACTGACAGATCTTATTGCCTAGAGTTGGCCCATTAGGACGTCGAGCTGCCATGGCCTACAACAATGGCACAAGTTCCAGTAGAAAAATGGGACTGTCAGCAAACAATGCTGCAACTGAAAGAAAAATATTTCAGCCAGAGGAAGAAACAGGTTTCTTTTTTTACAGCACCTGAAGTATTCAATTCAAACAGCCAGTTTGAATCATCATCTGTTTAAAAATCCTTGAGCAAATAAGTTGGTTATTAAAATGGAAAGAATACTGTAGTTCTTTACTTCAGAAGAGACTTGCAGCAACAAACAGAAAATGAAAAGGATTTTGCAAGTTAGAGAAGTACAAAAATTAAATGACTGTTAAATAGTTTGCCGTTTTAGTACACCTTCAGCATCAAATACTAATTTGGGGTTATAGCCAAGTTAAATGAACTACAAATCAAGAAGCTTCTTCCTTATTTTTACCATAAGGTCAGGAATGTATGTATGTATGTATGTATGTATGTATGTATGTATGTATGTATGTATGCATGCATGTATGTATGTTAAAGATAGAAAGCATATACCAACCTCCTTAAGATGGAGTACACACACAGTCCAAGATCAGAATGAAACACCATAAGAGCTAGAGAATGCTATACAAAATTGGCACCTTTATTATGTGGTATAAAATCTATCAAAATGATTGCATGCATGATTGCTGCTAAATTACAGATGCTAAATTACAGATTGCTGCTAAATTACAGATGCTAACATCAAATATAAATAAGTCCTGTTAAAAGGGAAAAAGGAAGGAAGCACTCCCAGTAAGGAATGTCACACCCACCATAATCAGCACCATCCCTTGTTATCACCATAGCTTTGTTTAAATATCAGCGATTATATTGTTTAGTTCTCAGGTCAAGGACTCGTTCCAGTTCGTAATATTCCTCAAAGCAAAGCACCAGGACCTTGTCAACAAGCCCTAAACCCAGCGCAGCCTTTTGTAACCAAAGCAGACGCCACTCTAATTCCAACAGTGTGATTTAATCGCCTCCAGGAAGCCAAGAATTTCTCACGTCCTCGTCTACCAGCGACAGGTAGTGATCATGAAAGATCATGGAAGTTTCATTTGGCTTGCCAGGCTAAGAAACCCCATTTCCAACCTACTATTATGTGTGACGGAGGGGAAATTAAAGGGCTTCCTCAAGAATTTAAAACTGAAAGGAAAGCTTTAGGGATTGATTTCCGTCTTTCCCGAGCAAAACCGTACGCTTACCCGCTCCCGCCTGCGGGACCGCCGCGGAAAACAGTCCACCGCCTTCCAGAATCCCGTTTTGCCCAATTCCAAATCTCAAACGCCGCCACTTCCGCCCTCGGCTTCTTTTCAGCTTCTTCCGCTTCCTCAGAAGTTGCCTATTTCTACTTCCTCTCCATGACAGGCCGTCTCATTGGCAAATCAAGAAAAAGCATTCGAAGCCCTGCCTTTTCACTCCGAGCAGGTGATGTCATTTGAGAGGGAGAGAAAAACGATCGCACAGCGGGCGCGGCCATGAGTAAGGGGCAATAAACAGCGGGGCATTATCGCCGATTTGAAACGTATACCTGTGGCGGAAGCGCAGGAAACCTCCAGAAACGGCGTTATACAACTCCTATTACATTCGACTTTAATAGCTGGAGATCATAGGAATCGTATTATATCCAAATATAATTCTATAGAATAGAGCCCCTGGTTGGAGAGAGTGGCCAATGTGGAACAATATTATGCCCCTATCTTCTTGTATTGCATATCGGGGGAAGGCGGAAGAGAATTTAAAGCAAACATTAGTAACAGTAAATATTTTGTGCCTGGCATTTCCTAATTAAGATATGTTGATGTTTGTTATTATCTTAAACCTGTTTAAGGAGAGCACATCTCCTATCCTGGCCACTTTTTACAGAGGCACGATTGAGAACATTTTAACAAACTGCATCACTATTTGGTTTGGTGGTAGCAGTGCCTCAGACAGAAAGTCCATATAGAGACTGGTAAGGACAGCCGAGAAGATCATAGAAAGCTCGCTTCCTGGTATTCAGGATGCTGCTTATAAGTGCTATGTGTTTAGAGCTCAAAGCATTATTAGAGACCCCATACACATACTTTACAGTCTGTTTCTGTTGCTCCCCTCTGGGAGGAGGATTCAAAGTATTTCTAGCAGGACTACCCAATTCTGTAATAACTTTGTTCCCTATGCCATCCATCTGGTACACAAGATTCATTTTTCTTGCCATGCACATATGTACATAATGCGAACTAGACTATGTTTTTCTCTGTGACATATATGTGGGTATATGCATAATTCTGTATTTATTTTTGTCATATTTATGTAGTGTATATTGGAGGTGGTGACCCTTTGAGAGCTGTATGCAACGAAATTTCATTTTATGTTATGCTGATTAGTATACATTCAAAGTGACAATAAAGTTATTATTCTATTCTATTTATTTAAATTGCAATCTCTGCCTACCTAGCATCACTATATGTATATGTGTGTGTGTGTGATAAACAATTTCCTCCCTGAATTCAGGGAGGGAAGTTCTACACTTAGAAGACCTCATATGCCACTCTTCTTCTTATTTAGAGATATTGTTGCCCATCACAGTTACATACAGAGATTTTATGTATGTGTGTGCACACTGCACGCATGTAAAGATACAGTCATGTGAAAAAGAAACCTGAGTTCTATGGTTTTACATATCAGGACATAGTAAAAATCATCTGGTCCTTAGCAGTTCTTAAAAATAGGTATGGATATCATATGACATATTGCATATTGTATATTGACATATTGCACTCATAGAATAGAAATAGAAATAGAATAATAACTTTATTGTCATTTTGAATGTACATTAATCGGCATACATTAAAATGAAATTTTGTTGCATACAGTTCTCAGAGGGTCACCACCTCCGACATATACTACATAAATATGACAAAAATAAATAAATAAATAAATAAATAAATACAGAATTATGCCTATACCCAGATATATTATATGACACAGAGAAACAACAGTCTAGTTCGGGTTATGTATACATGTGCATGGCAAGAAAAATGAATCTTGCGAGTTTACCAGACGGATGGCATAGGGAACAAAGCTATTACAGAATCAGGTAGTCCTGCTAGAAATACTTCGAAACCTCCTCCCAGAGGGGAGCAACAGAAACTGACCGTAAAGTGGATGTGTGGGGTCTCTAACAATGCTTTGAGCTCTAAGCACATAGCACTTATAAGCAGCATCCTGAATATCAGGAAGCGAACTTCCTATGATCTTCTCAGCTGTCCTTACCATTCTCTGTGTGGAATTTCTATCTGAGGCACTGCTGCCACCAAAGCAGACAATAATGCAGTTTTTTAAAATGCTCTCAATCGTGCCTCTGTAAAAAGTGGCCAGGACAGAAGAAGAAAGATGTGTTTTCCTCATCCGACGCAGGAAATGCAGATGCTGGTTTGCACATTTCACTAAGGATGATGTGTGGAAAGACCAATTCAGATTGTTAGTTATTTGCACCCCCAGATACTTAATACTGTTAGCCACCTCTACAGCTGCATCCTTGATGCTGAGTGGAGTATGACTATGCTGGCTCTTTCTAAAATCTACAATGATCTCCTTTGTTTTATCAACATTTAGAACCAGGCTACTTTTATTGTACCTGTCCACCAGAGGCTTCACCTTTTCCCTATAAGCATTTTCATTGTCATGCTGGATAATACTCATCACTGCTGTGTCGTCTGCATACTTCACAATATGATTCATAGCAAATTTGGCACAGCAGTTGTGGATCATCATGATGAACAGTAGCAGACTCAGGACATAGCCCTGTGGAGAACCTGTACTCAAGGAGATGGAATTGGAAACTTTCTTTCCAGCTTGCACTATCAATAAGTGAACTTCCTATGATCTTCTCAGCTGTCCTTACCATTCTCTGTGTGGAATTTCTATCTGAGGCACTGCTGCCACCAAAGCAGACAATAATGCAGTTTTTTAAAATGGGGCCTATCAATAAGGAAATCAAGTATCAGATGGACATCACACGACATCTTGCAGCATGACATCGTTTATTTTCCAAAAGGAAGCCAAAATGAAGAAGCCATGTGTGAAAAACTAAGTACACCCTTACTGCTTTCATAGGTATGAAGAGGCTAAGTAGCAGCCAGATGCTGTTAATCAAGTGCCCTTGATCAATTGACCATCAGCTAGTGTGACTATAAAAGCCAAAGTTTTAGGAGTTTACTCGTCCCTAGCATTGAGGTGCCTATTAATACAACGCTGAAGCGTAAAGATGTCAGCCATGATCTTAAGCAATTGTTGCTGTCCATCAGTCTGGGAAAGGCTATAAGACGCTTTCCAAACAATTTAAAGTCCATCATTGTACAGTGAAGAAGATTATTCACAAGTGGAAAACATTCAAGACAGTTGCCAATCTTTCCAGGAGTGGATATCCCAGCAAATTTTACCCCAAAGTCAAACAGTGCAACACTCAAAGAAATTGCAAAAGAGCTACATATCAGACCCTATAGGTCTCAGATGGCATGTTAAATGTTGAAGTTCATGACAGTACAATTAAAAAAAGACTGGACAAGTATAGCTTGTTAGGAAGGGTTGCCAGGAGAAAACCTCTTCTCTCTAAAAAGAACATGGCAGCACAGCTTAGGTTTGCAAAGTTGCATGTAAACGAATCACAAGACTTCTGAAACACTGTCCTTTGGACAGATGAGACCAAAGTGGAGATGTTTGGCCATAATGCACAGTGCCACATTTTGCAAAAACCAGACATAGCATATCAGCACAAACATACCAATTTCATACCAATTGTCAAGCACAGTGGAGAAAGGATTATGATTTGGACTTTTTTTTTTTTTTTTTGCAGTTACAGGATCTGAGCATCTTGCAGTCATTGAGTCGATCGTGAATTCCTCTGTATATGAAACTATTCTAGAGTCAAACGTGAGGCCATCTGTCTTAAAGGTAAAGCTTGGCCAACATTGAGTCATGCAACAGGACAATTATCCCAAACAAACCAGCAAATCGACAACGAAGTAGCTGAAAAAGACTTGAACACTGGGCGCTATCTAACAAAATGAAATTCAATGGTGAAAAAAGTAAGGTTCTACATTTAGGCAAGAAAAACCAAATGTACAGGTATAGTATAGGGGGTAGCTTGCTCAATAGTAGTAACTGCGAGAGGGACCTCGGAGTCCTAGTGGACAATCATTTAAATATGAGCCAGCAGTGTGCTGCAGCTGCCAAAAAAGCCAACACAGTGCTGGGCTGCATTAACAGAGGGATAGAATCAAGGCTGCCACAAAGAAGAGGGAGTCAAACTATTCTCCAAAGCGCCGGAAGGCAGGACAAGAAGCAACGGGTGGAAACTAATCAAGGAGAGAAGCAACCTAGAACTAAGGAGAAACTTCCTGACAGTTAGAACAATTAACCAGTGGAACAACCTGCCTCCAGAAGCAGTGAATACGCCAACACTGGAAGTTTTAAAGAAGAAACTGGACAGCCATTTGTCCGAAATGGTATAGGGTTTCCTGCCTGAGCAGGAGGTTGGACTAGATGACCTCTGAGGTCCCTTCCAACTTTATCATTATTATTATTATTAAATGAAGGTGTTGCAATGGCTTATTCAAACTCCAGACCTCAGCCAGATTGAAACGCTATGGCAGGACTTCAAGAGAGTCATGCATAAACTATGTACAGGTATAGTATAGGGGGTACCTTGCTCAATAGTAGTAACTGTGAGAGGGACCTCGGTGATTGTCCTAGTGGACAATCACCTAAATATGAGCCAGCAGTGTGCTGCAGCTGCCAAAAAAGCCAACACAGTGCTAGGCTGCATTAACAGGGATAGAATCAAGATCACGTGAAGTATTAATACCACTTTACAATGCCTTGGTAAGGCCACACTTGGAATACTGCATCCAGTTTTGATCACCATGATGTAAAAAAGATGTTGAGACTCTAGAAACTAGAGTACAGAGAAGAGCAACAAAGATGATTAGGGGACTGGAGGCTAAAACATATAAGGAACGGTTGCTGGAATTGGGTATGTCTGAGGAAGAGAAGGACGAGGAGGGACATGATAGCAGTGTTCCAATATCTCAGGGGCTGCCACGAAGAAGGAGTCAAGCTATTTTCCAAAGCACCTGAAGGCAGGACAAGAAGCAACGGGTGGAAACTAACCAAAGAGAAGCAACCTAGAACTAAGGAGAAACTTCCTGACAGTTAGAACAATTAACCAGTGGAACAACCTGCCTCCAGAAGTGGTGAATGCGCCAACACTAGAAGTTTTTAAGAAGAAACTGGACAGCCATTTGTCCGAAACG